TGACTCAGAAAGTCATGCAGTGATGTTTTTGGGGGCTATGGAGTTGATATATGCCACTTAATTGCTTGACAAGGATATACTGAATGTACTTGCTGCTGACTTTGCTTGCTGCTCATGTTTTCCCATATTTTGTTGACAGGAAAACCAAAACATCATGTTGACAGGAAGTTCATGGATGGAGTCCCTTGGATTGCATCTTTGGAGTACTCAGAAAGTCATGCAGCTATGGTTTTTGGGGGTATGGAGGTGATATATGCCACTTACTGCTGATTTTTGTCCCTGCACTTCCAACAGATTCATCTGAACTGCTGTTTTGTTCCCTGCGCTTCCAAGAGATTCATCTGGGTATGGGTCAAAATCAAACCACCAGGGGACAAAAGCAGGTTTTGGTCCATGTTACCATTTACCAGGATTCCATTTTGGGTACATATTTTGGGTACCATACCTGAAACTGGCCTTAACATGGTGAAGGGTCCAACTTTGGGACATTTTGAGGTGTGCCGAGCTTTTGATCATCTTGCAAACAAGCGAATGGACCATATTTAGTTCAGGTCTCAAAAGGTGATCACCTTTTACATGTGTGTTTGGTCCTTTGGGCAAGTTGCACCATCTTTCCCTGCACTTCCAACAAAATTCATCTGGAGACATGGAGTATGGAGTTACCTCGCGTACTTCAGGGGTCCCGTCCAACGGAGTTTACTTGCTGCTGCGATAAGGGAATGAGAAATGGCATGACCTGCCGCATGGCTTTCCGAGTCCGGGTGGGAATGAACCGTGGGATTGCCGAAAGGAAACCACCAGGATGGGCTTTCTATTGGGCATTCCATGTTTCATTCCCTGCCTATCGCACCAGCAAGTAAAATCAGTTGCCCCTGGGGACCCCGGAAATTCGGAAATAAGCGAGGTAACCCCATGTCTCCAGATGAATCTGTTGGAAGCGCAGGGAAAATTGGGCAACTTGCCCAAAGGACCAAAAAAGGTGAAAGGTGATCACCTTTTGGGACCTGAACAAAATATGGTCCATTCGCTTTTTCTGCAAGTGAGCAAAAGCTAAACACACCTCAAAAAGTCGCAAAGTTGGACCCTTCACCATGTTAAGGCCAGTTTCAGGCATGTTTTTTGGGGGTATGGAGGTGATATGTGCCACATTATTGACGGGGATATACTGCGTTACAAGCTTAGGTATGCAAGGATCCACAGCATCCATAGCTCCAAACATCCTATACCTTGAGATGCACTCCTTTTCAATGCTGCTTCAGGCTTAAGGGAAGCTATCCAATGAAGTACTCCGAAGATACAATCCAAGGGACTCCATCCATAAACTTCCTGTCAACCATGTTGATCGGCATTTTTTGTCGGTACCCTTTTGAGTGTTGATCTGGAGTGTACGGATTGCAGTCCCGGTGTCAATGTGAGCCCAGGATTCATTGATCTTGGGGGATGTCCCCGTTTGGAAGGACTCGTCGCGCTTCGGGGAAATTTCCCCTAGTCTGCCAGGTTGAAAAACAGCGGTCAACCGTCCTCCGATCCCCTCTAACTTTTAGTGGGTGAAATGGAAACTACCACTCAACTTGGTTGCTGTTGACCCCCCTGCAAAAAGTTGAAAACTTTTCGGGGTTTAGTAGACAACACCTTTATTTCAACCAAAAAGTTAAAGTCTAAAGATCCAACCCATTAGCAATCAAGTCAACGAAACAACTAGAAGCCTAAGAAACCGGATGGCTGGGAACCAAGCAACATGGCTGTGGCTCAAAACTTAAGAGCTAGGGTTACGCAGGTTTTGGTCCATTTCCATTTTGGAATTCCGGTTCTTTGAGCCATACCCACATGAAAGGATGCCAACCTTGCACCATTTGGTGGCACCTGTGGGTGCCAGGCTTCTACAATTGGAAGCGTAACAAATGAATTGTGATTCTCGCATCCAGGTGGAAGCAAGTGCTTCTGTTTCAAAGACCTTCAGTTGGGTCCCATAAATGCATATCAAATGAAGCTTGCAAGGACTAGGATGTCGACCTTCAAGCCGTTACATTCTGAATCTCACAAACGGCGGTCCCCTGCAATGGTTGGCTTACTGTTACCCAACCGGAGGTCCCTTCTGCATTTTGATTAAGTCCCTCTTGGCTGCGCGGGTTCTGTCCATGTAACTTAGCCACTCACATGATGGAATGTCAAGCAACTTTGCAGAGTGTGCATGAAGTCTCTCCAATTGTATGCAGCATGTTCAAAAAATTCCAGCGGGAAGCCTGTTTCTGCCAATTGTCAGCACAATTAAACAAGGATCTTTACATTATACACCTGAACATTGCCTTGTCAATGGTGGTTTCCCCTTATTTTGGTGGAAAAAGCCATGTTTCAAATGGCAACATGTATCTTTTAAGGAGCCCTGAATTACCACGCTGCTTTGTGTTTTGGGCAGCTTTGCCGAGCAGCTTTCAAATATGCCGCAAGGGGACAAGATTCTAGGGGTCGATTTTCCATCCTTTTCCACTTGTTCTTTTTGAAAACCGGCCGTGTTCCCTGGGCTTCTGGTGGTTTTCTAGAAAGAAGGATCCCTGGAGAGAATGGAAATGGAAGGTAGCTTATCAGTTTCCAAAAGGAAGGGAACGTGCAACATGCCAACCGTCCAGCTCAATTCGCAAGTTGTCCCCTGGCCATTGTTTGATGGAGTCATCTAATGTTTCTTGCTCAGAGCATCCCTTAAAAAAAACAAAAACAAAAAACATATATCAATTTAAACAGAACACAACGCCCCGAGAGAGGCAACTGGTTTATTAAAATGGTGTTCAAACAAATGCTGATCCATAGGGGTGACATAGATTACCAATAATAATACTGTCAGATGCTTGTAAACATAAATAGAAGAGAGAGCGACAGAGAGAGAGAGAGAGAGAGATAAATCAGTTGTTAGTTTGTAGGTTTGACACTCAAAGAAGCTGCAATGAGGACTTGTTTGGAGACAGATGCTCCCAGCACCCCCCAAAAAAAACAAAAAAACAAAAAAACAAAACAGATCCCCCTGCACGGTAACGAAAAAGCAGTGGTTGCTCTGGACCCGGGTGCTGGTTCCTAGTCTATGCCTTCTTCCAGCTCCAGTGAGGCAAACTTGCTCGAGGGTCGGCCAAATGACCCGCTCCAAGAACCAAACGTCGACGAATGCAAAGGGCCCTGATCAATTAACCCCCACATAAGGCTAGGTCCTCCAGTAGAGAGGATAGAATAAGGGTACCCTTTTGTCTGTAATTAGTCTATTTTAGTAGGGGAACCCTCCCCCAAAGAAGGGTAACAGGGCACTACTGTGGGACCTAGTCAGCATGACCATCAGATTCCGCCAGCGTTCGACCACGCGCCTCAAACTGCGCGCCGAAATCGCTCGCTGGGGTGCGCTGGGGCGCGGACGAAGTAGGGGTTCTCGATCTTATGCTGCGAGTCCTTGAGTGGACCTCGGCCATGCTAACCCGGTGTCCACGTCAGCTGCGACTACCCACTTGGGCGGTCGGCCAAGTTAGTACGTTGTTGGTAACCTGGCTTATAGCCCACGTATAAGTCCCCCGTTCATTGGGCTTAACCTTGTTATTGGGGGTCATGCCCCAATTTGCTAACCGCCTACTAACTTGGCCCAACATCCAAGCAGGGGAGTCTGGGCAGAGTCGTGCAAGAAACCTGCATGTGTTGTATGCCTCTTCCCTTAGTCCTATCGGTCAAAGTTCCAAGAGGTTAGGTGTCCTTTATTTCTTCCATCCACATGTACCAAAAATAAGGTATCATGTGCAAGCACATATCCGGCCATCAAATGTCCCATCCATCCGAAAAAAAGTATCATCTACAAGCACATATCCATTGAACTCCTGGCGGCATCCCATGCCAAGGGCCATGTTTGCGGTTCCTGGAAACTCCGTCTGATAGAAAATCCGAAACCGTTCGCGTCTGCGGCAACCGCAGGTTCAGCTTCCCAAAAGAAAACCCACCAACCCTCTCGCTTCCCACCGGGCAGTTAGGACTGCCCTTCCCGCGTGGAGCTTGCTGTTGCGTGCGCTCCAAAGTAAAATCAAAGTGCCCAAGGGGGGTTATGGGCCTGGGGGATTCTGGGTCTGACAGGGTTCCGCCCTCCCAATCGCAGTTTTTCTCATCCAGCGTCAGCAACGAGGAGCGAAGCAACTTGCACATTGAGTTGCAATCACGTTCTTCCGAGCCTCGGATCTCTTTATCAACTCACCATCAGTGGCATCCCAGCGGCGCCGAAACAGCATGAGGCACAAGGAGTATGGTTGGCATCAGCTTGCTACGCTGATGCCAGCACTAAGCCTGCCAAGCACGAAGACTTTATCACCCTGGGCATTTTTTTCAGAATTCACCAATCTCAAACATCACATGCCCCAAGAAAGAAAGAGAGACTCACGTGTCGCAAATCAAACCGCTTGAGATCATAAACACAGCACCAATAGGTGCCCTTTTCGCAAAATAGATGGGTTTCCCTGTCCATGAACCAGTGGAACCCATCGAATTCTAACCAAACTCACCTAAAGAGGACACCTTTGAAAGCGCCCATTCAGCCCGCGACTGTCCGTCAGCAGATAGATGATCACAAGCCTGGGGTATCGCCAGGCGGAATCTGTGAGCCCAGCAAGAAGCAACAAGCAAACGCCCCGGAAAATTATCTGGACATCTCTGGACCATAGCCTCTCCACTAAAAAGGAGGTAAGCCTCAAATTTTCCATAGTTTCCCAACAACAACCATGGGTAAGCCTCAAACTTTCGGGGCGGACTAGCTAAAATCATGGACCCTCAAAGGAGGAGGGGCTATCCCTTAAGCCCTTAATAAGGCCTTATTAAGGGCTTATCCTTGGGTTCTCGGCTTATCCAGGGATAGCCCCCCAGCAATAGCCCCCCTGAAGATTCCATGAGACAACAGAACCAAAAACAAGCACAAGTACGACAAAGTGGAAAAGAAGAACAAACTAAGGACAAAGGGCAATGCTAAAGAAAGTCATCCCCCATACACCAAGATGCACCATGCAAAGCCCAACTGTTGTAACTGAAATGACATGGCTCAGGTGTGATGCACTGGCCCTGCGGCCTATCCGCGGTCACTTGGGATGACAATTCTGACTAACTTTGCAGGTAAGTCATCTAAAATAACAATACATAGCAGGCGTGACCGGCTCAACGAGTGCTGAACATATATAAGGAAACCAATCAACAGTCTGGCAAACTCAGACTTTACAACCCTTGGTATGGTAGCAAAACACTCTGTTGTTTGCAGTCCCTCACTAAAAAAGAACAGAACCAAAACAAACTAAACACTTGCCAACAACAGTAAACTACTTAGTGCGGGCCTGAACCAGTTTCGTTTCGGCCACAGTGCACCCCCCAACGTCATTTTAAGCTTGAAATTATGTTGGTTCTGCGTCAAACACATTGCTTCCCACTTCAAGTTCGAATTAAGCGCTGTGAGGCAAACAATACATTATCTGCCCAGGCGAAACACACTGATTGTGAGTTGATCCCCCAAACACCCTTGGTAAAAGGGTAGGGCGGTGATTCCATGCATCCTTCACTTTCCGGGCATATCGACAAATCTGAGTAGGTCAATCTGCATTGTGCGACAAAATGGCACAATTGCTCCCGTGTTGGCTTGGTGAATGCCGTCTACTTACCCACATAAATAAAACTGTGCCTTCTACTTGCACCCTTTTTGTGGTAGTTACAAAAGAAACCTACAGGGAGCCAGCGAGTTATTCGGGTTCCCTCATTTTGAGAGAAAAACAACAACAACAACAGAACCAGGAGATAGCCTTGAGGGGCACCACTTTGGTGGAATCTCAAAGGTCAAAACTTGGTTGACGTTGGATGTCAAACACTCAACCACAATAAGCAAACATGTAAAATGTTTCCCAACGACAACTACAACCATGAAAAGGTGGATTCGTGGGCAAGTGACTGCAGTCTCACCTGCGGTCTTTAGGCTCCCAGCGTAATCACGGTGATGGTGAACACACCCGACCTCCAGTCGCTGTCATTCCGAGCTGAATGGTCAATGCTTGCAACAAAATAAGTCGTTGCTCCCGCATCGCGTTTTCACCCACAGGGTCCCTCGGTACCCAACAACTTGGTTGACGTTGGAAGGGGAGCAAACACTTGAACTTTAGCAGGTAAGTGGGGATTTCAACCACAACCACAACAAGCACAAATGTAAAATGTTTCGCAACAACAACCATGACAAGGTACTCAGACCCCGTCGTACACCCAAAAAGCCATCCTGCCGTACTTGGCCCCGAGACCAGCACATTTAAACTTGTTTCCGTTTGGACAACTCCGCATTCCCAAATGGCCATGGGTCAAAACCCCGTATCCCCAGTAAACATCCCAATCCCCACTAATCCCCACTAAAATAGACTAAAATGGGTGGTGCACCTACCCCAAAATGGTACCATTGGTTTTGACCCACAGCCAAATCTCACTTCATGAGTGGCCTGGCCGAAACAGGTCAAGCTGCGTATTTAGCACTGGAATGGTCTTCTCAAGAAGAGCTAAAAAGTCCATGAATTCGAGGAGTATGAAAAGTTAAAGCCAAACAAATTAACCAAATTTGATGGCATCGGTGTCAAGACAAGTTGTGGACCCACCAAATGTTTACTTTTGGTACACAGTTCCCTCAAAAATACGAATCCTGGTCCCTCCCACTAACATGGCCCTTGCCGGAGGGTACCTGGAAGATAAATTAGCTCTTGAGAAGCCCCCTGTCGCCACTGTCAGGTGCCACGTTAGAAGGGAGCCAACCACTCGCGAGACCAGTCTTTGCCTTGGACATAGAACCCACATACTTGGGCCTTGCCTCCAAGTCTCTAGGCTTCAGCGAATTGCGATTCGTTGAGTCCAGCTTCACAAGGGCGACAAAGTCAAGTGCCTTGAAAACAACAGAAACATGGCTTGGTTGACGTTAGAAGGGGAGCAAAAGAATAAAATTGAGTACTTAAGTGGGGATTTCAACCACTACCACAACAAGCAAAAATGTAAAATGTTTCCCAACAACAACCATGATGGGAGCCCAATCATGTTGACCCCCGCTGACCCCATATCAATCAACCATTAATAGGGGTTCTCCTCTTAAAGTGGTCTGATTCCCCACTCAACCCAGGGACACCTCCTTACTAAGAAACTGAGGTTGACTAATATGCGGTCAACATTACCCAGCTGTTTTTGTTGGAAATATCCTTTTCGTCAAACGGATCCTCGCTTGTTCCCTTCCTTCTCTTCAACTGCAGGAGGGAAAACGGGTTTCTCTCACAAACGGAATTCAAAATGGTGCGTTGGTTTGGAGCTTCCTTCAAATACCTCACTTCCTGAGTGAATTCGCGAAGACATGTCTAAACTTGTTTAAAGACCAGGAACTCAGGGAGTGAGAAAACCTGCCAAACAAATGTGCTTTGAAAAATCAGGTGTCCCCGCACCACCGCCAGGTTAATCACCCAGAAGGCTCCGCTGAGTTGCGCCACCTGACGCGGCGCAAAATCGGGAAGGGGCAACGCTTCTATTCGACCAAACAGTTTCTCAGTTGCTCAATGTCTCCGGTATATTTTTTGGGAATCATGTTTTTGGAGTTGACCAGGTTTGGTTGGGAATCCAAAAGAGAAAAGGCTTCCACTGAACGACTGGGGTTCCCGATACTGCATTGCTGTCGAATTTGGGCTCCGCTTTTTGTGCAGAAGTTTCACTATCCCAAGGTCCCCTACTTAGCCCTACTTACCGTGTCCCCTGAAAACATTGGTATTTCCCGGTTTGACATGAAAACGTGTCTCAAACCCAGGGGATCACAGGTGACGCGTGAAAAGCCCTTCCCCAAAGGACCCCTTCCCGGTGCCGCCGCCTTGCCGGTGTCAGCAGAAATGAAGCCATGGGCATTCTGTGCCGCGGTGAGGAAGGGCGTGGATGAGATCACCACGTCGATGTACGCCTCGATCGCCACGGCTCGCAAGACGAGAAGAGGGGGGTTAGCTTCGTTGACGTTGAAAGGGATGGGAAACAACAACCAAGTTCGGGGATTCATTCATCTGCAAAAGTTAGGATGTTTATTTCCAGAAGCTGATTTACTTCCATTTGGTTAAGGTCCCAGGAAAAAAACAGAAATATGTCCAGTAGTGATGAATTCCTTTTAAAACCAACAAGGGAAAATAATATATATATATATATATATTTGTAAGCAAATGGAGGTTTAAGGAATCCTCAAGTAAAGGACCTTTGACATGGTGCGCTCGTTTTAGCCCCAGGTGAGCTCACCATAAATGATGCAGATTCGTGGCTTCTGGTTCGCACGTCTTGCCATGCCCAAATCACTCGCAACTTGCAAACCATCTGCAATGTGTTCCCCCCCTTTCGAGGATTGCCAAACCAACGAGCCAACTAGCAAACCTATCAATCAACCAACAACAAACCTGCCAGCCAACCCACCGACCCATCAACCAGCCGATCAAGCAAAACAAAGAGAAAAGGCACGTGTTGCCGCTTGCAGGGATCCCATCCTTTGGTCACTGGGCGAAGGGCTAAGCTTTGACGACCTACTCAGCGTCAAGCCGTGCACTCGACTTCAAGGCCAACACTGCCCGACGGTCCGAAGGGAGAAGGATCAAGGACGCTAAAGAAACGGGCTCCAAGTTTCTATTGGTTGATTCTCCTCAAAACCAACCAACCGGTTTACCCCAAAAGGTACCATGAATCTGGAGGTTGATTCCCCATTCTTTTCAAACCATTGTTCTTTTCAAGAACTAGCTGTTTCTTCTGGGTTTTTGATGGTTTCCTGAAAAGAAGGATCCCTGGAAAGAATGGGGAAGGTACCCCTAGAAACTTATGTTCTCGTCCCCCTCACCCCACCATACCCCACCTTCAAAAAGGTCTCACTTCAATCCGGCAAGCAGAAGCCATGCTGGAGAGCACCTGGCAACACAAACGCAAAAGCGAAAACACGCAGACTCGCTCCCTTGGGTCACGGCATTCTTGGTCACAAACTCCATGTACCGCTGCGCCTGAAGGCGAGTGAAGGTACTGACATTTTACAGAAGGCGATCCTCGAAAAGGGGCGTGGTTTCGACAACGGCTTGAACATGCAAACGTTTGATTAACCTCCAACTCATGTTTCGAGGGTTCGTTCAAGTACCTTGCGCTGTTTCCACCCTGTTGTTTTGCTTTTCAAGTACATCTTCAGAAGGTGGATCCTCGCAAAATGTGGCCCATGTGTTTTTTTTTGTAAGCCACTGCAATTGCCGGAGATATGATCCATTATTCCTCGTACCTTTTAGGTGGCTTGCTCTAGCCGGTGCAAGGACAACCGCAAGGCACCTCTCACCACTTATCTCCACGCAGTTGAGATCTGAACATAACTAGCACATGGCCTACTGCGCTTACCAGGGGGGGTGATCAAAAGGTCCTTTACATGAGATGACCGTTGGTTGGAAAACCACTTAACATATTATATTTTCCACGCGATGTCACACGGGAAAAGTTCCCCATGGTCATCTGGGGCCGAACGGAAGACTGATCAACCCCCCAAAGTCCTCAAGCAGTGGTTGCTATTGGACAAACGAAGCGGGGATACGGAGGGAGCGGGGATATGGGGGGATTCCCTTGGCGCCATTTCCCATATCAAACCTAGTCAAGGTGCATCAAACGGGGCAATCCTCAACCGTATCCAACTGGTTCCCCTGTATCCCTGCTAGTTGGCTTCCCTGACTGAGCCGACCCGGGTGCTGGAACCGGACCCCTGAACCTCTGAACTGCTATGTACCCGGGTGCTGGAACTGACCCCTGAACTCAGCCACCTAGAAACCCGGGAGATGAGTATGAGTCAAAATTAAACCACCAGGAATCGGACCGCAGGTTTTAGTCTCTGTGTGCATTTGCCAGGGTCCAATTTGGGGTACGTATTTTTGACCCACACCTAGATGGCACCAACGGTGCCTCGCCCCTCCCGCGAGAGTCTTGTTTCCGGGGCCGCCGGCGCAGCCGATGCAGCTGCTGAAGCAAGTGGCCAGCCTCATGCAACGCCCAAGGCAAATGGATTGTTTTTCGGTTTTACTTCTGGTTTCCCTTTCAAACCTCTGGTTTCTCTTTCAATCCAACCCTCCTGTGTTGGTTGGTGTTCCCTCTGGTTTTGTTTTTTTCTTCAAAACCAGCAAAGCATACCCTCAAAAGACGAGGAACCCATCTTTGTCCCAGGTCCCAAAGTCTAGGACGCCGTTTAGTCTTGCTTCCAGAGGATCCAAGCGCCTGAGTATGGACGGCTTTTTGGATGACAAACGGGGTCTCAGATGCTTGGAAGGTACTTGCCCGTGGCTCGAAGGGACTGGGTGCTTTCCTTTTCTCCAAGAGAATCGAAACCATCCGCCCGGAAAAACGGGTTCGCTCCGATTAGGAGCGCGGAGGAAGCGATGAGCCAAGGCCCGCGCAAGCCGCAGATGGGGTTCCCACCGTCCTGGCACGGCAATTGGTGACCCGAACCAAACCCGGAAAAATCTCAAAGGTTACCCTCCCTCCAACAATCATGGAAGTTGACAGGAGAGCTTTGGAAGACTATTTTCCTTTTGGGGAACCCCTTTGTGCACTTCCATGATTGTTGGAAAGAGGGTAACCTTTCACGGGGCACTGGATTCGCCAAAACAAACGTTGATCAATTTGCTGGATTCCATTGAAACGATCGCCACTTTTGGAGGTTCCAAAAAGGGACATGGAGGACACCCTGCCCGTTGGTTCCACTGAAAAATGTTACAGGTTCCATGTCAGTGGACAGGAGGGTAAATCAAAATACATCATGATCATCCAACAAATCTCTGGTTTCTTAAGGGATCATTTGCCTCGCTCAAATACCCCTTGTGATCCTGGGGAGGTTGCTGCTGCATCAAGAGGGAGGCCAAAAGGCCTGGCTGATTTGGCACGACATTCCTTTGACTAATGTCCCCATAGTATCAACAAGCAACCAGTTTATTAATGGGGGGGGTGTTCCCCACTAAATCCAGGAACCCTGCCCGGGCTTAATCAACTGGTTGGCTGATGAAAATCTGGGGTCAACATTAAATTAGGAGCTGGTTCATATCTTTCTTTCACACACCTTTTCGGACCTCCTGCACTCTGCATCGGGGCAACCCCCTGGACATATGGGTCTGTCTTTGTGGGAGGGTACCGTCTTCTGGTTGGTTTTAAAGCAAAGCCAAAAGGAGACCTTTTCAACTGGTTAAGCATTCAATCGGCCAGATGCACTGTTGCTTGTCTTGGCCACCCTCCCCCCCTTCTAGTTCCCAGTCATCCAGCAAGGGTCACGTAAACCAGCACATCACCTACAAACTGTGTTAAAAGTTGCCTGAAAGTAATGTGTTTAATCCGCAATCAAAACTGGTTGCTGGACCCTCTATTAATGAACCCCAGTTGATTAATTGGGGTTGTGCCAGGGGAATCGGACCACTATTGGAGGGGCCCCCACAGTATGGGGTCAACGTTAGTGAGAAATTCACGTTTTCCGCCGCTGGCAAGGTTCATGGTCGCCCGAAAGCTTTCACTACAACTCATCTCGGCCCGCCTTCGCCTGCCGGGAGAGGAACATAAACGCCTCGGCAAGGGCAACTGGTCTCGTTCACTTGTTCACTTGTTCACCTGCAAGTTGCAAAGATCCTGATCCGCAACCACCATATGACGCTGTCGCGGGAGAAATCAACCTTGCAAATAGCTAGCTGTGAAAACAAGACTCAGATCCTGCAGTAAATAAACTCTGGTTTCTCAATTTGAGTAGGTGCTTGTCCATTTGAAACATTCGAGGGAACAATTCCTGATCCCTCAACGGATGATTGACACCTACTTGCTAAATGGGTTGGAACACCCAAGAAAGGCTATCCCGCCAACATGGAAGTGCCGATGCCCCTTTTCCCACTAATTCAAATCCCGGGGTCGCCTTTGTTCGGGAGTCTGAATGCCGTGTGTGTGTGTGTGTGCGATATTCAGTTCAGAGTTCAGCTTCATCAGAAACCAGCTGCCAAAACCCAACCCAACACCTGAACCTGCAAACTCTGGAAACCATACCCTTCCTCCTACGTTGCCATGGCACCTGTGGGAGATCGATTTTCTCTGGAAGGGACCTCCAGGCACCATCGTAGTCGAAGGGAGTGTCATTATTGGGGTCAATCAGCCCAGGAAGTGTTTCAAAGTGTTTGGGTGTAATCCGAGACTTTCCGGCCCACGGTGTTCTAGCTTGCGTACAAGTCTCTGAGATTTTCGTACTACTGCCGCCTTCACCGCATCCTCCTTGCCCTTCAGCCGCTCCCAGAGAGCTAGTCCATCCCGGATGTGGCAAACAACTTGGCTCCGTGCCGGGGCTGCCGGGAATCTCTTGCGGCAACCAAAAAGAGTGATCACCTTTTGGGGGGGCACTGAATATGGATACCAAATCAGGGAAACCAGATCCGTTCAGAACCGGTCAATTCGCTTACAACTGAGTCCCTTACCTCAGGTAGACCCCCTGGCTATCACTAGCTGGCTGCCATCGGAAGCTTCAGTACAAGCTTTGACCCAATGTGTTCAACTTACAGCCACATCGATGGGAAACCCGAAAGGGTTTTTAGGGGGCACGCAGTTTGCTTTTTCAGCCCGTGGCTGTCAATGGTTTACCAAACAAACAGGGTCAAGTCGCTCGCAAGTAAGCTCTAACTTGTGTGTGTATGCGTGTTTTGCAGGGTACCCTTTTTGGGGTGGAGAAAAAAATACAAAACCAAACTAACCAACCGAAATCCATTGCGGAGAGTCCAAATCCCCTCGGTTGCTTTCTTCGCCCCTGCTAAAAGTTTAACTTTTAGTGGCTTAATTCGGAAAACCCACTAGTTGGCAAAAGGTTGTTCAGTCCCAACATCCCTTGGCAAAATGCACCAAAGTACCCACTTCAATCCGAAGGCGCGCTTTCTCGCTCGCTCCGCGCTTTCCGCGGTTCGCTCCGGCCGGGCACCCCGGCGATCCGGAAGGGCCGCACCACCGCAATGGCCAAAGACCCAAAGGCGATGCTTCCTGAGCCGATGCATCGCCTGAAAAAACAAGCCTGAACTGGACTGCCCTCGGATCCCCCGCTAAAAGTGACTCACTTTTAGTGGGTTAAATGGAAACTACCACTAAACACTAAAAAGCTAAAAGGCCAAGGGGATGGCTGGGAGCCACCAAGAAATGGTCAAAGTGCAAGCCTAAGGGTTAAAGTACCAAAAATGCCCAAACAAGTGCTTGGTCTCCTCATGCTCCAAAGAGAAGTGGGGGCGTGCTGGTCTGTTCTTTGTTCTTTTGATTCAACCCAGGCTAAAACTCCTGTTCTTTGTTCATTGTTCAAGGGCGAAGATATGTAAACAAAAAAAGTCATTCCCAATGGCGGAGTTGCCCGGTGCCAAGGGAAAGAAACAACAAAACATCTCAATCCGTATCAAGGCTCAGTTGCTCCATATCTAGGTCCTCTAGTACAGAGGTTAGAATAAGGGTACCCGATTATTTTTCTGTAGCCTATTTTTAGTAGGGGAACCCTCCCCAAAAAAAGATGACAAAAGGGCACTACTGGGGGACCTAGATATGATTCTGGGCAGCTACCTGCTGTCACATGATGGCGGGCGTCAGCAAATCCAGCCCCTTGTATGCACTTGGTAGGTATTCAGCACCCGTCGGCCAGCGAGTGCATCAACTTTCAAGTGCGCAATGGGCACCGACAAATGGAGTTCTAGATTTTAGATGGCTCTTTCAGTTGCTAGTTGTCAAGTCAGACATCTTCGATATGCATCATTAAGGAGTCCAGCAACCATGCAAAGAAGGAAGAGTGCTGCTGCTGCCATTTCTGTCCACTACAAAACTGTGGCGAAATCCTGTGTGGGCCTGGCTCAAAATGTTGGGATTCTTCAAACCAACCCAAAGCGCACACCGGGGACATCCTGGGACCCTGAACACAAACGGACTCATCCAGCAAAACACTCACTGAATGAGAGTGGTGACCAGAACCAAGGCATAAAACATCTCAAAGATCTACGTTTCATGGCAATCAGCCGCCAGACAAGCACCAAGCAAGCATCACGAGCTCAAGCTATCTCAACTCTGACTCAATTCCTTCAATATCATGTTGCCTAAGACCTGTATATTCACTCTAGACCGGAAAAACATGACACACAGTTTCCCCCCCCCCCCCCGTTTTTCTGCAAACACAAATCCACTGCAATTCTCTCAAATTGTGAACATCAGTCACGCATGGGTATGCACGCCTTACCTCTTACCTAGCTGAGCCTACTATGTTGCCTAAGATCTTCATATTCAATCACTCTAGACCTAAAAGCCACTGTTCTCTCAAAATTAGCTTAGCTCCGTACGATTCGCGCGCACGATCCGAACTCAGCCCCGCCCCGCCGGTTTCGGCGTTCGGCGCGGCAAATCGGAGGCCCCGGCCCAGATGGAAGAAGCTGCCGATGATGAAGCCCCGCATCAGCGGGAAGGACCTCAACGACGGCGGTGGCCTCAAAATACCCCAAAGCAATGATATCTTTTTAGCGTGCATTTAAAACCGTCCAACCAGGGGACCCTCACAGAAAGAAGATGATATCCTTTTGGTGTGCATTTTTAAATCCATCCAACAAGGAGACCCTCAAAAAAGACATAGCAGTTTGGGTTTGTGTTTCTCAGGGTACCCAAATATTGAAAGGAGAACCGGCCCAGAATCAACCATGAAATGATTGATCACCCCATGCACCAGTTAGTAGCTGCCCCAGTCTTCATAGGAATTCATCCATCCCAACTAGTGCAGGATAGTGTAACTGAGTTCATATATTGACGCCTTGAAATCGGGGAACACACATCCAACCTGCCGCGGGAGAGAACTTGGTTTGCAGGCCCTCGGCCCGAAAAAACACAAACACCCCTAGGTTTTTGCAGTAGCCTTTTTCAGGACGTCTATTTTAGTGGGGAACCCTACCCCAAAACGGGTAAAAGGGCACTGGGGGACCTCTAAACAACACTGGGCCAACTCACCTGCAAAAAAATCATTGTTTTGCGAGTAAGGGAACTGAAGGCAAACCAGAAAGGCCTGCCATGGAAATAAAAGGGAATCGTACGGGAAATACCGTAGTTATGGAGTCCTTAATGGGCGTAGGCACAAAGGGTGGGCACTTGAGAGACCTAAGGTTTTTTAGGGTTCTTTAGGGTTCCCTAGGGTTCCTTAGAGAGCCTCAGGGAATCTTTTCTTGGACCACCCCCTACAAATTCCACAAAAACTGAAATACCAAAAGGTCAAATCCGGTCGATCGGCTGTGTTGCAACTGAGTTGGCACCATCCCCCCCACCTTAGGGGGGACGGTGGGGGGTTCGGGACCCAATTGCATTGTTTGGTCTTCCTCATAGAAGGGAACATGGAACCAAGGGGAAATCAGGAAAACCCAAATCCTTGTTTTGGGCTGCTCGATTTTGCGATTGGGAACCCTCAAAACTTGCTGGTGCTCGGGAATGTGGGAATGAACCCATCCCCTTAGAGGAAAGCACAAGGAATGGCTTGTAAGGGGCATTCCTCATTCCCTTCTGACCACCCACAAGAAAATTGGGCTCCTTTGGGTTTCCCAAATCCACCGAAAAGGAGCTACCCCAAAGTTTGAATGATTTCTTTCTCAGCTCTGTGAGCTCTTTGAGCGGCCCCTTGGCCACGGGAAATGTAGTGAGCCCGCCCCCCCCGCCCTCGGTCTCCGGTCTTGGTGTTTTTTTTCTGGGGACCCCCACGCTCAAAAAATCAAGCAACAGCGGATAGGTTAGGACGATGTCTGAATTTCGAGGCTGATAGATTGAGGCCTAGTAATATGGGTATTGATCAAAAGGTCCGAACTACATGGGGGGGGTGACCTTTTGGGAAACCGCCCACACAAACAAATGCCAAAACCGCCTGGGAAAAGTTGGCCACGGTCAAAACTGGGCGCCCAAGGGCGACTGCAAACCGATCAACCCCCATACCTCAAGAGCTCGGACCCAGGCGGTCCGTAGTCTTTGGGCTTCGGAGTGTAGTACCAAAGGATCACCGCCTGAGCCAAATTCGACAGGATGCACTGGCTGAGCGCTGCCGGACCTCCAGGCAGCCATATATATATATATATATATGCCAGCACCCTCCGAGGGCTGTCTATTCGTACCTTTCGTAAGTGCCCTCTATTTGATGGGCACTTTTGGGTTAGGGTCAATCAAGGGCACTTAGCAAATCAAGCTAGGGTGAAATCAATGTATATACACGTATCTTCCATGCCCTATTCTGGATGGAAGAAACGTTGTTGGCTGGATTTGGCATGTGGTTTGCATATAATACGGTACCACATCCAGCTATCAACCTTTGCATCCACCCAGAACTACCCCTGTCTCCCCAAAAAGCTGCTGCTGCGGCTGCTGCAGCTGCCGGGCGGCCTTTTTGGACCGCGCACCTGGCCTGTTTAGCAAGCACCCCAATTCAAGCGGTTTAATTCATCACTTCCATCATCCAACATCCAGACATGGTACGTGAATCATTTAACTTATAAATAATTCTTGCATACATGTCTACATACTGGTGATGCTGGAGGATCAGCGCAAAGCATTCTCAAGTTGGCTCAGCCACCTGACGCTGCAAAATGCAGCCCACCTAAGCATAACCTGACGGCCCAACTTTATTGGGTGACTCAGCATTGATAACCGCTTGATCTTGCCAACCTGAGCTAAGAACCGACACTGCTGCAGGGAACAAGGTATGCTGCATGCAGCGCACAAATCAGAGCTGTACATCAGACCAAGGGACATAATCCTCGTCCATATATGTGGCAGTCGCCAAAGGCGACATGCGCGGTGCCTGATCATAGCACATATGATCAGTCCTCAGTGGAACCACGAATGCCTGGAAAAAACGCAGGACTGCGCCCAATGATGCACACTGTGGGGCTTATGGTATTTTGGCCGCACTTTGTATACAAGTCGTTCTTCCTGAATCGCATCACTGGATAAACCTCGCTACCGATGGCTGAACACAACTACCGATGCTTGCAGAACACAATGTACACACGCATACAAATCAGGCATGGAACCGTTGAAGGCGCAGTGAAACAAGTAGTTGGCACGCTGCAAGGCCTCCACTTCGCTGGGGGGGAGGATGCCATTCTTCGCAGACTTCAGCGCCCGTCGCATCTCCACTAGGTTGACGAAAAGAGAAGCTCGGAGCCTGGAATGATGTTTGATAGTTGAACCACCATGCGCTAAAAAACAGTTCGATATCCGAGAAACGCAGCATGGTGGTCACTCGGGTCTTTAGCACCTACTTTCAAGCAAACGTCCATGAGGAACTTGGCCAACACCACAGATTCCTGATCAAGCTCAGCGCGTGTGTGCATGTGTGTTCCACTGCCATGCCTCGAGCTGAGCACTGGTCCGATGCATTCAAGTGCTTCTGGGCCAACGAGGGATAGCGACGCAAACCACGCTTGGTCTTATCACCCACGATGTGTTTCCTAGGCCAAGAACACTACGTGTCCAGTATTGTGGAGCAAAAGTAAAGCCAAAGGCGCAAGCTGAAAATTTGGCCTCTGTTTCCTCATGACCGGACAAGTCAAACACCAGCAGCATGAATGGTAACATGCATGCGGTGTGCTCTGCAAGCGTCTAACTTTGTTGGTCTTGCAGTATCCTCTGAACTGAACGTATGCAATGCGCAACCGCGCATCCATATCAGATCCTGCACTGATTATAGTGCAACAATAAACTCGCTCATGAGTTGCAAGCAACACTCCTGACCACACAGCATCAGTCGAGGCCAACTCAATTAAAGCCTAAGACAATACAACATCAATTGAGTGGAGGCATGCGCTGAGTGCTGCGTGCTACACACATGTACGATGGCAACAGGGCACTGACCCGGCGCATTCCGGAACGATAGCCAGGTCGACGCAATGCAGCCAATCATTCTGCAGCAGGTCAATGTGGAACCCTGGTAATCTTACAAAGGGGTTTTCACGGCAAACCTGCTCGATGAAGGCCGCAGTGTCCAGCAGCCTTCGGAATCCAATGTAGTAGAACATGGAGCATGCACTTGCAGTGCGCATCAGCAATTATTGGATCGAGCTCTCCGTATTTTTGCGTTTCTCGATGAGGCGCGTTGGGACCATGCGTGGTATACACTAGCTCAGTGTTTGCACCCTTTGACGCCCCGCATCGCCAGCACACCGACTCAGTGTTCCAGGTAGTGACCATGTTGTAGGCCTTCTGGAGATAGGCCTCATCCCCCTTGTGGCAGGCCAGCACCGCCTTCCAGCCACCCGCCACCTGGCGGCCACCAGGTCCAGCACGCTGAATCGGGGATCCAAAAGGGTCCACGTCGAGAAATGTGCCCAACAACAATTCAGTCAAACTCCAGCACAACCAGCAGTTGAGCACGTTGTATGTCTCGTGGAGGCACTGTGCATTGTCTCCTGCAAACACCAGCATATTGGAGTCAAACGGGCTGCAGCCAGATACCAAAAGGGACCCCCACGACACCACCATAAAGCTGCGACGGCGGTGAGACTCCGCATCGTCCCCGTGGATGAATATGGGTATGGTTCGATTTAGGTCCAGCTGAGACCGATATGGATGAGCCAGCAGCCACGGTGCATCATGATTGGCGGCCCAGAAGTCCTGAAGGGCCTAGCATCTCGTTGGACAAATGCTGGCAATTTTTACGGCCACAGCTGTACTGTGTGCATTCAAGAAACACCCGGAGGGCCAAGCAAGCGCATCTCAAATAGTTTGGGATGGTAATGATAAAGGCTGGAAGCAGACCCGGGTCACCCTGAGTTGCAACCAGCTTAGAGGAATCTTGGGGACAACACACACTCATATTTGAACCGCCAAGGCACCAATGGCACATCCACCCTGAGCACACAACCATGCTCCACTCATGTTTGTGCGCATGCGCGCGCATTATAGTTGCAGACAAATGTCTGATGGACAGCTGGCAGCATTCGACGCCACGGCTGCTTATCCAGCCACCTCCAAAACGTTCTTCCGATGTTCTTTGTCTTGTCCTTGTCAAAGTGGCTCAGGAGTGATTGCATATTCCTCCTCAGCCGGATCAGCCGTGCAAGCACACTGGATTTGTTGGGACGATCCCTATGTAGACATATATATATATATGTGCATGCATGCATGTGTGTCGCTTAAATTTCCAAGCTATTACGCACATGCTTTCGAACCCCAGTTGATAGGAGCAAGCAAGTTATTGTATGTATCTACCAGCGCTATATTCACAGTCAAAGTTTCGGTGCATACTTCGTGGGAAATCGCCGCTTGATAATGTCCAGCATCTTCATGATGGTCACGACACTCACCTCTAGGCTTTGGAAGTGGATAGCATGACCATTTGCTAAGGGGGGCCCCTTTGTTTACCCAAGAACAGAGTTGGTTTTGCGGCCACCATGATCAACGACCACCCTCCAAAGTTTGTCAATTGGTGCCCAAAATGGTTCACACAAGGGAACTTCAGGGTGATGGCATGTGTTGTGTTCAAATCGTGTGTTCTGTGCACACACATGTCTGTGTGTGCATGTGTGCATGTGTGTTTTTGTGATTGCAGGCACTGGCTCTCTCTCTCTCTGTGTGCATGCATGCGCACGTGTGTGTGTATATGGATGTGTGCATGTGTATGTGTGTGCGTCCGTGTCTGGTTGTGTGTGTGTGTCCGGGTTTTTTGTGTGTGGTGTACATGGTGCAACGCACACCCCCAAATGCAGCCAAGTGCACATTCCGGCCAAGCTCCAGAAATTCCTCCGCCACATCCATGATCCCAGATGTGGACCCCGCGAGCTTCCATAGGGCAGTGCTTTCACATGTAACACATGCATGCTACTGTTCAACACTATTCAGGTTGTCTCCAGGGTCTATCCTGTGTATGTTCATGTATGCATGCTTGAGTTGCTATTAGAGTCGTCCAACACAACCTCGAAAACCTCGACTAATTAATCCCACGCCTTGATCAGCACACACACACAAAATCATTCGTGCCAGGTGCACTTGCTGACGTGCTTCAATTTCAAGGCTCGCTCTCCAAACTGGACTGCGGGGTGCAGGTGTCCGTTTTCACTACACGGTTGCAATTGGTAATGTATCATTCCTACATATAGAGACTTGTGCATAGTGGACGATGGTGGCAATGTTGTCACTGCCATCAAAATGCTTGCGCAGGCAAGCCAAACCCCAGAACTAGCATCCTGAGTGCTTTGGAACACCACTGGTGATAGGACTATACAAATGTCAAAGATTTCCGGCTGCATCAAGATTGAAGGGGTCAACTTGGATGGGATGTCCCAAGATCAAACGTTATAATAACAGTTTAAGTGACCAGGGGCAGGGCACAAGTTCCAGCACTCAGACTGCCAGGAAATCGCAGTGCATGACACCTACAAGGCTATGGCTTCCCAGAAGGCTGTCCAACAGCACCACTTGATTTGTGACTATCAAGGTTTGAGTTGACCGCCCCTAGCATGGGATCCGTTATTCAGTTAATCACATGTCTAACTTCCTATGACAAGATCAATTGAACAGCCAAATTCCAGTGGCCAGAGCACTGGAACAAAAACTACATTAATTATCACTCGAGATCAGCAGCCTTCTTCTTTTTGGAAGGCCCCTTATGAAGGCTGATCCGGCGCTTAGCGTCTTTCACATTTGTTTCCACCGCGCTGACAAGCTGCTTTTCGTCAGCCACAACGGCTTGAAACATTTCAGCATCAACATCATCAGCCTTGTGGCTGACAAACGGCAGAAGCCTAGTCACAGCTGCCTCAGCCTTGGGAATGTCCTCCTTCAAGGCAGCAACCTTGGATTGCCCGATCAGCGATACAGTTGCATAGTCCCTATAGGTGTGTGTCATGCCAGGACCGGGTTGGAGGCACATGTAGTGGTGCGGTTGACGACCCTTGAATTTTGCAAACAAACCCACTGAGTGTGGGGCTAACTCCTTGCTGTTGGGGATTTTCATATCCAAAATCTCAGTCACCTGGGCGGGGATGTCGCCAGCGAGCTTCTTGAACCTTGATCAGTGGAGCAGTTTGCCAGCGGAACCACGCATATTAGAGGCACAGCTAACTCTAGGAAAGAGGCTTGCCATGGAGCTGCTTCATGTCTTTGAGCGCCTTCTGCTCGGCCGTGTCCGGCTTCTTCACCTTCCTAGGATGCATTGCTATAAGCACGCCATGTAAACTTAAAAAACACAAATTCGTGACTAATTGGGAACACATGTCCAGATTTGTTTTCATGAATGTGATAAAGAATATTCTAGGGTTCATTCTGTTCAACCATCGTTATTTTCAAAGACCAAACGTTTTATCTGGGTGTCATGGAGGTTTTCTAGAAAGAAGGATGCCTGGAAAGAATGGGGGAAGGTATCTGTAGAAATATGGGCAACGACGGTTATGAATCCCATGATATAGTGGCAAGTCGATCCAGCAAGGCGCTTGGTAGAGATCTGACCAGTCTTGAGGTCCAGCATGCCATTCCCAACAGTGAAGTCCTGCAGCTGCTTAGCCACCACGCTCTTGGCCTTGTCATCTCGCACAGCGCCCCCGATAGACGCCTGAGGCGATGTGACCAGTTAAAGCAATTGGCCGGTTGGTTCGAACAATAGCACCTATATATAATGTTACACCTCCTTTATTAGAAGTATCCTCTATTGTGGCAAATTGTTTTCGCAATTCAGGATCTTGTGACTGTTTTTGGGGTCCTCAATAGTGGCAATTGTTTTTGCGGGGAAACATGCCGGAAAAAATCCGGGCAAGAAACAACTGGCCAAAAAAGTCAGGCAAACAAAGCGGGCAAACAAATCCGGGCATTTTTTTTGAAGTGGTCCCCAAACCATCAAATTTAAGATAACTTCTTTACAAAAAAGTGAGGCCAATCAATCACACAAAGCGGGTTGCCCACAAGAGCCCCTGATCCTCTTTAGTCTGACTGTTTTGGGGTCCTCTTTAGTGTCCAACTGGGTTTGGGGGTTGCTGAAAAAACTCTTCCCTGCTAAATTAGAATTTGGCAATGCTAAAGTAAGTACTGGGAATCTGAGAGGGGGCCTTGGCAATACTAAAGTAGCATTGGCAATGCTAAAGTAAGTACTGGGAATCTGAGAGGGGGCCTTGGCAATACTAAAGTAGAATTGGCAATGCTAAAGTAAGTACTGGGAATCTGAGAGGGGGCCTTGGCAATACTAAAGTAGAATTGGCCGCGCTAAAGTAAGTACTGTCCCTCCCAGACCCCCAGGAATTTCTCTAAAGAGGGTCCAGCAGACTGGCTCCACTGTTCAGGGAGGGGGGGGGGAGGGGGGTCGTGTAAACAGGGTCCAACATTATATAATTGTATATATATATATATATATATATGGATCATTGTCACCGCCCCTTCCCATGTTCACAGACCCAAACAAACCCTATAGACAGCCCAGCTACCATCTCAACGCCCTTCTTCCCGGAGCTTTTTGTCTCCACCACCTCCCGCAAGACCTTGTACATGGTCGCCTTCGCGCATGTCGGCGCCTGGCCCACAAGCTCGAATCAGCCACAACCCTAGGATAGTTAGTCCCTTTGAGAGCTCATGTTCTTGAAGAAATGGCCACCGGAAAAAGACGATGGATCAATAAATGTTGTTTCTGGTGGTCTGAATCTAGGGTACCAGTTCAAGCAACTTTGTGCGAGGGGCCCTAGAAAAGTCTAAAGCCCTCGGCCGACCCGCAGGCTGTGACACAACGAGCAGGCCTGGCCTGCGGATGCGGTGTTCCCTCCTGGCCTGGGATCAAGAAATTAGAAAAATGGTTTCTATATATAGCTATAGCTCATATATATATAGTATATGGAACATGGTTTAACAGGTCTGACCTATCACACACTCACCAGCCAACAACAATACAGGAAAACTCACAACACGTTGTGGGCGTTGGCAATTACCACAAATCCAGTTTTGAGGCACTTGGGGATCTTATTCTTAGTGGGCCTAACACAGGGCATACTTTGCACATTCAGATAGTTCACAAGGGGATCACCAAAAATGAGCATACCCTGCATACGTGGATCGCCCCCATGGACCTCCCATGCCACATTTTTGGGGGCCGATCGGAATAAAGAAGCCATACAGTAGCAATCTCGACATGCAACTGATAATATCAGGTTAATGAATCCCCCGCACCTACGGTTGCCACAGCTTGGTTGCTAAGGACCCCATAAAAAAAGGTTAGGATCGACCATGACTAGAATGTTGGACCACTAAAACGTCAAACCCGGGCAGCTTTGAGCAAGTGAGATAGACATGGGTGTGTCTCAAAATAGCCCCAAAAGGAAACCAACTGCCTGTGTGCATGGAGCAATCGTCCCCTAATTTTGAGCTCACAGCATTCAAATAGTCGAGTGTTTTGGGAAACCAAGACGGCCTTCGAATGTGTGAGCCATGTTGGGTACCAACTGACAACCCTTGGAGGGTGCTAGGGCCTTGTCTCAAAATGACAGGACCACCAAATGGCAAGTCATGTTGGTTGCCCTTAAGCTCCAACCAACACGCAGGCAACAATAGAGGGACCAGAAACAGTACAGAATATTCTGACAATTGGATATTGAATGTATTCGGTTTTGTGTGTGTCCCAACACGTATAATATGATGACCGGGACTCCTTTCACCAACTCGGAGACGAACTGCTGAACCGCTTCCTCACTGGTGCCGTACATAGCTTCAAGCTGGAACAGGGTCACTGTCACGTACTTGTCGGACCTCTGCTCTTCCACCCACTTCTCATACTTCTCTTCCACGTGGATGTCGGCCAGGCTCTGGTTCACCACGAAGCTCTGCATCATCTTGAACCTGAAGGATCGGTAAAAGTGTCACCGTGGCCAGTCCATGAATTCATGTTTTGTTCGGATAACTCCCACAAAAAACATCTATGGAAATGTGGATCGACGAATGGTTTCAGATAGCCTGCCTCTCGAAGTCATTGGAGAGGGTCCACTTTGCAAGCAGAGCCGGGTTCCCCTCAGAGCGGAGCGCCCTTCCCACAGCGGCATACTGCCGTTTCCGCTCATCGCGCGGCATCTCCTGTGGGCCGCGCTGATGCAACTGAGCACACGCCCCTGGCGCATCAATGTTGTTGGATTCAAGGGGTGGGTCATGGGCATAATCAGTCTGATCATATATATTGCAGGGTTCCCAGCCGGAGTAGTAAAACAAGACACGCACTCCCCACAATAGCAAATCGATGCAATTTACTATAGGCAGTTTCTAAACAAAAACAGCCATGCATGAACATGTGCCTTCGGCAGGCTCATGAGGCTGATCTGCTGCTTCTGCTCATCAGTAAGGCTCCGCATCCGTGACACGCCGCTGCTGCAAAGGGATGCCTTTCAGGGGGTCAGATATGGTCCATGTACATATTTCAAATAACTCATGCAATACTTGCAATACACTGTATTCGATCTGTTGGCAACCCATGGCCATCGTGCCGACCCGCTCCATGTTCGCTTGCTTTCCCACAGCTTCGCCATCGCTGGACTCGCTCGACACGTCATCTTGCACAGGAGCTCCACCGCGAATCTCGCCACCTGACAGGCGGGAAACCTGACCGGCTCACAACATGCAGGGTTCTGCGCAGACCACTCCTAAGTTGCAGTTCATGCGCAGTAGAATGACAGTGGGGCCCAAATGCAACCCCTAAAGCACCCAGCATTGGCACCACCATTCGATGTGGTATGTCTCATCCCAGACGAAGGTTATATGTATATGGTGTAACAACATCTGAAACACAATGTACAACATGCATCATGCATGGATCGATGCCAAAATGCATGAAGTATATATTTATGTATACGTGTGTGTTACAGACGTGGTACCCTGTACCCCAACTCTGTTTCCAGGGTGCTGCTACCATATTGCACAAGTGTATCACACGTGGCAAGCCTTGTGGACACTATATATAAGCAGCGCAGGTTTGCTAACGTGACAGACTACAACTTAGAGGTCTGGAGGAGGAAGCATCCACAAAACATGTTATGCTCCAAGGTTGCAGATTATGGAAAAACATGCTGATGGACTTTAGAAATTAGCACCCCCGCCTGGCTGGTTGGTCTGGTACTTTTGCTGTCTTCGGCGCAAGACGCTTCTTCTGATGCTCATCAGCCTCCTTGGTGACCACGGTCTTGGGCTCCTTGGGCTTCTGCTTCTGCACCTGCTGGTCAGCCTGCTTGGTGTCCACATCCGCGGTCTTGGGCAGCTTCTTCTGCTTCTGATCTTCTGCGTTCTTGGTGTCCGTGGTGTTGGGCTCCGTGGGCTTCTTCTGCTTCTGATCTCCTCGCGGCTCCTCATTGGCCTCAGTGGTCTTGGGCTCCTTGGGCTTCTTCCGCTTCTGATCTCCTCCTTTTGGCGGCTCCTCAGCCTCTTTGGTGGGCTCCTTGGGCTTCTTCTGCTTCTGATCTCCTCCATTCGGCTCATCAGCTTCTTTGGTGTCCGTGGTGTTGGGCTCCGTGCGCTTCTTCTGCTTCTGATCTTTTCGCGGCTCCTCAGCCTCATTGGTCTCAGTGGTCTTGGGCTCCTTGGGCTTCTTCTGCTTCTGATGTCCTCCATTCGGCTCATCAGCTTCCTTGGTGTCCGTGGTGTTGGGCTCCGTGGGCTTCTTCTGCTTTTGATCTTTTCGCGGCTCCTCAGCCTCATTGGTCTCAGTGGTCTTGGGCTCCTTGGGCTTCTTCCGCTTCTGATCTCCTCCTTTTGGCGGCTCTTTGGTGGGCTCATTGGGCTTCTTCTGCTTCTGATGTCCTCCATTCGGCTCATCAGCTTCCTTGGTGTCCGTGTTGGGCTCCGTGGGCTTCTTCTGGTTTTGATCTCCTCGCGGCTCCTCAGCCTCACTGGCCTCAGTGGGCTCCTTCTGCGCATCTCCTCCCTTCGGCTGCTGCTGCTCCTGGGCACCAGCAGTAGTGGCCTCATTGGCCTTCGTCTGCTTCTTCTCATCTCCTCCCTTCCGCTGCTGCTGCTCCTTGGCATCAGCAGTGGTGGCCTCCTTGCCCTTCTTCTGCTGCTTCTGATCATCTCCTCCCTTCAGCTGCTGCTGCTCCTTGGCATCAGCAGTGGTGGCCTCCTTGCCCTTCTTCTGCTGCTTCTGATCATCTCCTCCCTTCAGCTGCTGCTGATCCCCAGCCTCCTTGGCATCGGAGGTCTTGGGCCCCTTGGGCTTCTTCTGCTTCTGCGCATCTCCTCCCTTCGGCTGCTGCTGCTGGGCATCAGTGGTCATGGCATCATTGGCCATCTTCTGCATCTGCACATCTCCTCCCTTCGGCCGCTGCTGCTTCTTGGCACCAGTGGTGGTGGCATCCTTGGCCCTCTTCTTCTGCTGCTTCTGCTCATCTCCTCCCTTCGGCAGCTGCTGCTGCTGCTCAGCATCAGTGGCCGTGGCTTCCTTGACCTGCTTCTTCTGCCTCTGCTCAGTTCCTTGCTTCGGCTGCTGCTGTTCCTTAGCATCAGTGGCGGTGGCCTCCTCCTTCTTCTGCTTCCTTCTGATCAGCTCCTTTCTTCGGCTGCTGCTGCTCTGCAGCCACCTCCTCCTTCTTCTGCTTCTGATCAGGTCCTTTCTTCGGCTGCTGCTGCTCTGCAGCCACCTCGGCGGTCTTGGCCTTCTTGGCCTCCTCAGCATCGGCGGTCGCTGGCCCCGTGGGCTTCCTCTTCTGCTTCTGCTCATCTCCCTTCGGCTGCTGCTTCTCGGCATCAGTGGCGGTGGCCTCCTTGGCCTTCTTCTTCGGCTTCTCCGCATCCTTAGCCCTTTTCTTTTGCTTCTGATCATCTCCTCCCTTCGGCTGCTGCTGCTCCTGGGCACCAGCGGCCGTGGCCAGCTTGGCCTGCTTCTGCTTGTGCTCTTCTCCCTTCGGCTGCTGCTGCTGCTCAGCCTCCCCGGCGTCAGTGGTCGTGGGCTCATGGGGCTTCTGTTTCTGCTTCTGCTTACATCCTCCTTCTGGCTGCTGCTGCTGCCGTTGCTGCTTATCGGCATCCTTGGGATCAGTGGTCGTGGGCTCATTGGCCTGCTTCTTCTGCTTCGTGTCATCTCTTTCCCTAGGCGACTGCTGCTTCAGAGGCTCCTTGGCATTGGTGGACTTGGGCCCCTTGGGCTTCTTCTGCGTATGATCATCTCCTACCTTGGGCTGCTGCGGCTGCTGTTGCTGCTGACCAGCACCATTGGCGTCGCTGGACTCCCTGGGCTTCCTATGCTTCTGTGCATCTCCTTTTGGCGGCTGCAAGTGTTCCTCACCCACCTTGGCGGCTGCAGTCTTTGACTTCTTGGGCTTGGGTTCCTCAGATGCCGGTGCTTGCTGTGGTGGCTGAGGTTGCGCCGCCTGCTTGGCTAGCCCGTTCCTTTCCAGGAGCCTCTTAGTGCGCATTGCCAGCGTGTCGCCGGCCGGGATGTCACCCTGACCGTCTGCTGCCGGGCCTCGCACTGGCGTCGCAACAGGCCGTGCTCCAGCATGACCTTTGTCCGCCATTGCCTTGCAGTGATGGGTTTGCCACTAGGGGCACACACACACACAAGCGCTCCCTTGCCCGGCCTTCGAATTTGAAGTTATCCCCGCAGAACGGTAATCCATGGGTGCATGCATGCGCCCGCTTGAGCAAGGCATGATATTCGAACGAACAAATTGTTTTGACAAGGGCATGCCACCAAATGAATCCCTACCATGAATCGCAGAACCAAATAACATTGCAGATCGACATAGGGCCCCAGTTTCAGGCCCGGGGTTCACTGCAAATATACTTTCCATTGAGAGACGACGCTGAAACCGCGACAAAACACCAAATCCAAGCCACAACCAAAAAACAAAATCCCACAACAAAAAAACATCTTTATAGGAAATGGAAATGGAAAGGAAATGGATATATGGGTATGTTTTAACCAAATCTGTCCGTTCGAACCAGAGGAGCAGCCACAAATGGATACACATGGCCATCAGGGATTCCTTTATTGCACTCAAGTATCACCGGATATGATGCATATTGGTGTATTGAATCAGGAGGTGAGGGATTTGTGGCTTCTAGTCAGTTCTTCCGAATTCTTTTCACAAAGCCAAAATATGTAGGCACGCCACTGTAGGCAAGATACAGAGCTGTCTACTCAAGTTCAGCAAGACCAGTAAATTTGCACAAACACTTTCTGCATCTTTCTGCTGCGCAACATGCATTGAGCCTATCCCAGGAAGCAGCGCGTCCAAATGAGCTTTGAGCTGTGTCAAAAGCTGCTCTTATAGAAGGCACAGCTTCGGCGCGAAGCTATAGTACCAAAGTGGTAGCCACAATTAGCCACACATAGCCACACCAAGGCGGTCAAGGAGCACCATCCCTCACTACTAACGAAATGTTTGTGGATGCGATTCGGTCCCGGCGAAGCACCAGGTTCCTCACCACATCCCCAAACTAAAACATACTGTATATATATATATATAAACATACTGAAACTGAACATACTGAAACTGTAAAACATTTTGTGAGCTTTGGTGCCTCAGTGACAAAATATGGTAGGCACACCACTGCGGTCACGGAGCCCCATCCTTCATTACTAACGAATTGTTTGTGGATGCGATTTGGTCCCGGCGAAGCACCAGGTTCCTCACCACATCCCCAAACTGAAACTATCATATGAGTGTAACGCATTTGCTCCGTTTCTTCAACAATCTTCAACAGATAGAGGTTTGTGGATGTGATTTGGTCCCGGCGAAGCACCAGGTTCCTCACCACATCCCCAAACTGAAGCTAGAAATATAGTGTAACGCATTTGCTCCGTTTCTTCAACAATCTTCAACAGATATATGCAGGATTAGGACTCCGGACCAGGGGCCCAAAGACCAGTCAGGATTGTGAAGTCCTGAGTGGCAAGATCGTCGGGCTCTTCTACATCCTCAAAAAGAGGCCATGCCGCCGGCTCGTCCATTAGTGCTTGGTATAGGCATACTAGGATGATCACGACGACGTCGCGGTCATTGCGCACACCAGTGTGAAGCCTACCGTCCACCATCTGGACGCGCACAGCCGGCCACCAGCCACGATCAGCGGCAAGGCTGTCGGACGACGCCGACCCGGACAATGTGCCGCCACCCACCTGATCCTCTGGAACATCTTCAGGAAAGGCACTGGTCGCGCAGATGGTACTTTCCCCCCTTCTGGCTGCCATAGCGCACAATGACCGTCTCCAGCATCTGCACCTGGTCTCTGGTAACGTTCATGGCCGGCTTGCTCTCAGAGTACTTGTACTTCAGGCTGGCACCCCGCTCCATCTTCCTCTGCAAATAGGATGCGAGCTCACCGATCTTGGGCCCCCAGTAGGCTTTCAAGGCCTTCTTTGTCAGGGCGTCGCAGCCAACAGCTCCGTGCAGTCCGAATCTGCGGGGGCAGTCCACCTCTCCCAAGACCCCTTCAAGCTGGCAGGTCTCCTGGACCCGTTTTCTGTGCTCGGCAGCCGCACGGTGCCCATCTGTCGCTTCCTTGTTGCACAGTGTGCACCTCCCACTTGCCGAGAAGCGTGCCTCAACCTTGTGGAAGATCTCTGGCGGAGCAGCGCCGTCTTCATCTGCCATCTCCAGCACGCTGAGCTTGAAACGGTCCATTGTCTCCTCGAAGCTAACAAGGCTAAGGCTGCGGAGGGCGACAGTGTTCCGGTAGTTCTGCGTAGCTACCGAGCCACGGGATCCCGTGGCTCTTTCGGCAGCTGCAAGGCGGGCTGCGGCACCTCTGGCCTTGCGACAGCACTGAACTGCAAATCCAGAAAACAAGTGTGTCTTACCGCAGGCCTGGTAGAGCTCCAGAATCTCCGTCTTGGACATTGCGGCCAATTCTTCCTTGGTGCGCACACCTTTGTCACACAGCACCCGCTTGGCCTTCTTGGCCTGCCTTCCCTCGCCTCAGTTGCAATTGCAATGGGCTCAACCGAAATGACAACGGAGGATTGATAATCATCAGTAGCACATGTCAACCTGAGCAATTGAGTTCAGCGGCCGGCTTCATGAAAACTCTTTGTCGAGGACCTCCCTGCACTTGATGCTTCCATGGACAGGGAATCATCGTCCGAGCCATCAGAGGGCTTCTTCACCTTCACCCACTCGGAAGCCATGTTGAGGCCCAGTCTTAACCAAATCTGTCCGTTCGAACAAGAGAAGCAACCACAAATAGTGATTCCTTTATTGCACTCAAGTACCACTGGATATGATGCAACAAAACCCAGTCGTGCCATCTCCTGACTGAGCCGCCGAAAGTGCAGGATAACCTGCAACGAAAAAGACATCGACTCTCCCCAATGCTTGTGCGTGGATCCAATGGCCTTCTTAGGGCTCGTGACAACAATGATTGCACCCGGTATAGGCGACACGTTGTGTTTTGTAGGCATAACTTTGGATCCGGTGCCAGACAGGTTCAGGGTACCCTAGGCGACACGGGGGCGACACGGGGGTGACACGGTGGTCCCCCAAAAAGTGTACAGCCAAAAGGAACATTGCATCTTTAAAGGGTACCCCCCCGACACGCCGGCGACGCGGGGCGACACGCCTCTCCCGACCCCGCGCGGGCAGAAAACCACTGTTTTTTTCGGACCACTGTAGATCCGGTGCCAGGCACTATCAGAATACCCCAGGCGACACGGGGGTGGCACGGTCCCCAAAAAGCAAATATTACCCTTTCAGGGTACCCAGCACGCCGGTGACACAGGGTGCCACGCCTCTGCAAACCCAATGTTTTTGTTTGGACCGGGTGGAATTCCATTGTCATTGATGCTCAAAGCCCGTTTTAAGTGTTGCACCAATTATAAATGCCATCGGCTTCCTATATATATTATATTGTGGGTTTTGCAAGGAATTACCGGTTGATTCCGAATTAAGCGTCGACCACCGGCCAGGTCAGGCGGAGACCTCTGCCTGGGCACGGGAGCTCGAGGCCGCTCCGGCTACACCGGGGGAGCAACTGCTGGTTTGGCGGTTTTGGGGTCGTTCCCTCATTCCCTGGGAAACATAAAAACTCAAACAGGAAATTGTACATGCAGGGGCTGGTTTGGCCGTTTCGGGGTCATTCCGGGAAACATAAAGATTCAATCCATCAGGAAATTACAGGGGCAGGTTTGGCGGTTTTGGGGTCATTCCCTCACTCCGTGGGAAACGTCTATAGGGAGGGTTTATTGGGGTCATTCCCTCATTCCCCAGGACATGAAGAACCAGCGAACAGACTCAAGTTAAAGCTGGGCTTCGATGGTATTCGAAGCGGTGCTTCTGTCCTTTCTATGCTTTGAGACAAACCCAACTCTTCGTCCATGCCATGGTTCCTTTGCAAGGATGGTCAACGATCGGGATGGTCGGACCCAACCTGGTCGCAAGGATCCGAACAATAAACCTCAGAATATTCCTACTATAAGGGAACCATGACCCAATCGGCCAAGCAGTCAGGAGTTTTGAACATGGCACATGGCGTGGATCTGGAATCCGTAAGGTTGCCTGTGACCATCTCACATAGACCGCATGTTGACACCTGGACTGTAAGACGGAAATTGCGTCTCAATGCACCTGACCAGGAACTACAGGGCGCTGGTTTGGCGGTTTTGGGGTCATTCCCTCATTATCTGAGAAACATACAGATTCAAACCATCTGGAAACTTTTGGGGTCATTCCCTCATTCCCGCAGAAGCATAGAGATTCAATCGGCCCAGGTGCTGAACCATGCAAACAGGGGAACATGTCTGGGTGAACTGTGCGTGTCCAACCTGAGATTATGTCAACATCGGATGTTTGACAAAACACCTGTCCGAAAGGATTTGCCCAGGACTAAAAACCCTGTCAAAATAAAAGGGCAGCCACTTTGGATGTCTATCTCTTTGCTTTGAGACGTAGGGTCCAGGCTGGCCGGCCAGCTGCTGGCTGGCCAACCCGATAGGTCTGGACCAAAGTTGCATTCTTTCCCCCACCAGTTTTATATGTCTATATGTGTCTATACCACGGAGGAACCATGTGTAGCCAAACGTGCGTGTCTTTTTCATGGGACCCCCGTAACATGGTGCTTTTCCTTTTGGTTTCCCTTGACAGACACACCTTTTAAAGTGGCAGCCTCATATTCGACTCAGACCTGCAAATTGTGTCGATACACGTCCTGTCAAAGTCCCTGTAGTTTCCTGATGGTTGGGGTTTTGCCGTAGCAGTGATCAATTCCCCACTAGCTAGAAGCTTCCCCTGCCACCGCGGCACCTTCAGTAGTTTGTTGGGGCACTTCAGGTTTTTTCCCTGGAAAGCAGGGTGTCATTCTGCGGCTTTTATTTGTTACATGGCCTAATGGACGGGTGTTCCTGACTCGCTTTCCAACCCCGCACCCGCTTGCGATCCCTAGCTGATCTCGTTTTGCAACGCGGCAATCGTTTTGTATCAAGTCTCCAAGCCAGAAGAAGAAGACGAGCTTAAGTAATGAAGGATGGGGCTCCGTGACCGCAGTATGTTTTAGTTTGGGGATGTGGTGAGGAACCTGG